GATCCAACCTAAATCAATATATTTTTCTTCGTTTAATTACATAAAACTCCACCGCCGTCATAATGACAACTTCAGCCAATGGCCCATTTGCTACTATTGGTGAAGAAATCGTCACCAACACTCCAACACTTTACAACATCAACACTGCAAATATCACCAAGCTCAACTCCACCAACTACCTGATGTGGAGTCTCCAATTCTACGCTTCGCTCGATGGCTACAAACTCGCCGGCTACCTTGACGGCTCCACCGTTATCCCACCTCCAACACTAACTGTCCATTACGCGGTCACTGTCAATCCGGAGTTTACCTTTTGGAAGAGACAAGACAAACTCCTTTATAGTGCCTTGCTAGGAGCTATCACTCCTCCGGTTCAGCCAGTGGTATCACGCACCACTACTTCCTCTCAAGCCTTGGAGACTCTTGCTTCCACGTTTGCCAAAACAAGCCGCAGCCACATCAGACAACTATGTGTACAACTCAAGCAATGGACCAAAGTATGTTCAAGGACTTACTACCCGGATAGATGATAACATCGTATTTTCGCCCGTTTTAGCTATTGTTTTTTTATGATTTAGGAAGCATTTGGTGTCATTTCAAGGCTAAAGAAGAGATATTCAAGTATTTATGGAGTTAAAAATTTTTGAGAGTTTTAAGGAAAAAGGACCCATTTTAGGACAAGCTCTAGAAGTTTGGCATTCGTTGGAGGCCTTCCCAGACACCGAATTGAGAGATCTTGGACTCTATGGAAAGGTAGAAGAGTCAAGAGTACTATGGTGAAAGAATAAAGTCAATACTGTCTACCAAAAGGATTCTACACCCGATTGAAGACAACCTATCTGAGACCAATCACAAGGAGTATGACCGGTGGGAAGCTGACCCTTGGGACCGGCCTCAACCACAGTGGCTGGTATGAAGCCTTCTCCAGAGACCGATCAGAACCCCCGCACCCGGTGTGAGGCCTCTAGTTCCTGCAACTTATCAAAACTACGTAGTTTTACCCTTAAAACCCTAATTCTTCTTGGAACCCAAGACATATAAATACCCATTCTAAAACCCTAAGAGTTGTGTGGATTTCGTGACAACACTAAGGAGACACCAGAGACACATGATCCATCCTCTTTCTCGATCCGAAGCTTTGAATTCCACCAAATCTCTTCTTTTCTCTTCTTTGCTACTTAGATCTATAAGGGAGAAGTCTTTACCTCATGACATTAAAGAAGTAATCTATAAACCCTATTCAGTTCATTTTAATCTTATTTTTATGAGTTTATAAAACCTTACTTTGATGATCTCTTTAACCATGGTAGAGTAGTTTACTAGCTGGATTTAAATGGATAATCAAAGGGGGGACATGATCAATCGTTTAGGTAGCAATTTCTAGGGTTTTGTTTGATTGTTTACAATGTTATCTTTCTACCTTAAGCTTTATCTTAGTGCATGTAGTTAGACTCATGAACTAACTCTGATCACAAGTGTTTAAATCTCGCTAACCGGTTGTTTAAACACTCGAACCTAGCTTACGAATGAGTGTCGTGTTATAACAAGCACATATCACTTAGTTATAGAGCTTTATGGCCGATAATCGAACTTCATCTTATTGCTTTGATCTATGCGTTGTTTCCTGCTTTAGTTGAGTAACGGAGTATATGGATTTTAGACGATTAATTCTATAACCTAGGGTTAATTGATCATTCGTGTTACGTATGTCCGAAACTTGGAAGTAAACAAACATTCTCTTAGTATTACCTAGATAGAAAGATCATTGAACCCCCTGCGATCCCTTGAATACCCAACATTTGTCTCTTATTAATTTACACTTGCTTTATTTACATTTTATTTTCTTTCTTAGTTTAGACGGGACACACCAAAACACTTTTTTTTTTAATTAGGTCTAGCCTTACTCTATCTTTTGACGGATTCATATAACAATGTTAATATAATTCGACAGTTCAAAAAATAGAACTTATTAATAAATCAATGAGGATGAATTAAGTCTACCATGAATAAACATGTTGCTACTAAAAATTATAATAGATAACAATCAACGAATCAAAACACAAGTCGACAGTTCTAAAATAAGTCGACAAAAAAATTAAATCAATAGAAGTAAAATAAGTCGACAGTTTAAAAAACTAAATTTATTAATAAATCAACATAAATTGAATAAGTCTACCAAAAAATCAGGAGAAAGAATTATTATTTTTATTATAAATTATATGTGTCAGTAAAACTAGGGTCTTAGGCTCACTCTTTGAAGATATCGTCATTGAAGTGGTTAGTATTACATCATCTCAAGAGGGATTGTTCTAGCCAAAAACCAGTGTCTTCTTCCAATTTATTTGAGTTATAAAGAAAGTTGTAAACTACTAAGAAGAAAGAGAAATTAATATATGTGACATATATCAAGGATTTTACGGTTTTTAATCATGATAAATGTATCGGTTTTAGATCCTTTATATTATTTTTAGAGTCTTTTCAAGTGTTTTCGTGATCAGAATGCATTTGGAGATAAGGGAGTATTTTGGAGCACAACCGGGAATAAAAGCTGAAGAGACGAATTTGGAGTCAGACCATGGCATCAGTGTCGATCGACACCCCCTGGTGTCGGTTGACACCGTTCGCGGCCCAACAAGAAATCTTTACAGTTTAAAGTTTTGAAGACTACATAATTTTCCCAGAAGACTTCCTTATTTATATTATTAGTCTCTGCACGTTTTTGAGACTTTATAAATAGATTTTAGGATCATTGTTTAGACCTATCTTGCTTTTTGCTTTTTATTTCTTTGAGAGCTTGAACTCTTTGGAAGATAATTCGAGATAGCATTATTTTCAGAGATATCAAAACCCTGTAGAGAGAAGATCTTTTCTAAACTTAATTCTTCTTTTGAATTCTTTATGCAATCCTATTCAAACATGCTTTCTGTTTCTATGATCATGTCTGAGTAATTTTCTTGTTGGGTTTAGGAATTCTCATTAGGAATTTAAATGAATTAGTAGATCGATAACCTGTTAGAATAAAATCTATAGAGTTCTTCACTTTTGATTGTTCTTAACGCTAGTTCTAGTGTAGTTAACTAGAACTTGATCTTAAAATAATAGGTTAGACATGAGAATGCGCTTATTACCTGAACTATCTTAGGTGGGCATAAATAACTAGATTCAGACGAGAGTTGGTGTAGGTATTTTTGTGAATATATCAAACCTGTTTTTAATACTTGTCTAGTTTTAGGAGTTTACAGACAAGAGTTGGAACTTCCTGCTATTAGGCGTAGTTAGTCAATACAGACGAGAGTTGGTTGATTATAGCTTAGTGATTTGAGTTCTAGAACGGTTCGGTAATAATCCTAATCAACTGCTAGATCTACTATTTATCTATTTTCTGAGAAATTCACTAGGTCTGACGCTTTAATCCATCTGAATTTACATCAATTTAATTTGCTTTTCTGTCTTTTAATATTCTCATATTTATTTAGCTTAATTTTGAGACTCTTAGCTTATTGTGTGAACAAAAGAACTTTGTGGAATTCGACCCTAAAGTACTACACACGATCTCTTATTTGAGAGAGTGGTCTTAGGTTAATTTGACCCATATCAATATGGCCGAGTATTTGAAAGATATCAAAGGTGTTTGTGAACAACTAGCCTCTACTAATAGTTCAATTACTGAGAAAATGATAAGCTAGGAGGCACGTGTGGTAGCTCAAAAAGAGAGAGGCTCATGAATAAGCAAAGAGAAGCAAAGAAGGCACGTGAAACAGAGCAAGAAGAAACAGATTGTGTAACCACTTGAGAGTCTAGTGAGTTGTATATAAATAGATAGAAGAGTATTGAAAAAGTTATGCATGTATTCATGTGTGTAACAAACGTTTGGTTTGTTAGAGGAGAGTTAGGAGATATCTTGAACAAATCTCCATTGTTAGGGCTTGGAAATATTGTAATCGTTGAAGGATATATAAGGATTAAGAAGAGTTTCATATTTCAAACCTTATATGAAATGAAGATTTTTGCTGCTTTACATGGTCTTGGTAGGGAATATGAATCTTTTAAGACATCTATTGAAAGTTCTATGGACCTTTTCCTTCTCCCACTTTTGAGGATGTGATACCAAGGCTCACAGGATATGATGATCGTTTGCTGGCATATACTGATGTCATAATGTAACTTCTCATTTAGCTTTCAGCACAACCGTTTGATTCTTTTGGTATAACAGTATAAAAAGAATATATAGTATTAAAATTGATCAAAAAGAAATAAAAATCAAGATAAAACATCAGACTGCACTTATTTGGTTTTTATGCTGTGTATATAGTGATGTTTTTCAACTCTTTTTATGCTTACTAAAAAAAAAAAATTAACAGTACAATAGGAGGTATATCTAATGTAAATGTGTTTCTGCATACACAAAGAGACATCAGCTTCATGTTTTCTTTTTCTCAGATCAGCTACATGTTAAACACACTAAAAGGACACAAGAGCAAAAAAGGAAAACACAAACTGATTAATTTAAAAACTATATCTGATGAAATATTTAAAAACATGTCAATGTGTTTTTACTATGTTCAAGAAAGCGTTAAGCGCTAAACGAACAGTGAACCAACGCCTAGCGCCTAGAACTCCTAATCGGAGCCTAGGCGAGATTTTATGCATTTTCACATAAAATATTATAAATATGATATCATAGAAAAAATCATATCAAACTATATATATATTAGAAAAATAAATATATGAAATCGTAAACAAGAAGTAGACAAAAAATTTCTTTAATTTATATCAAACAACATATAAACATTTATAACCATTTATATGAAGGTAAAACTTATAAATTTAAATATATGTAGTTAGAAATTGGAAAAATACACTAAAATGAGATTTATGCTATTTTAGGCGGTCGAAGCGGTTATCTAGGCGTCCCATGAGCGCCTAGCCTCTAGTCGGGTCCTAAACTACCGCGTAGACCGCTCTTTAGAACACTACTTTTTAGTATTTCTAAAATCGAATGGAAATACCGAACTTCATTATTCATTATTCATGACATGAACAGATCAAGTATTACATTATGATATTGAACATTACATATATTCATCCATTATTCACTGACATTAATTTAAAAGCATTCATTAACAAACACAGAAATTCACTCCGGTACCAACTAATTAATTTAGTTGGTATCACCAAAATAAAGTTTGTTCATAGCAGCCATCTCTCGCTTGAATTCAACCATTGCGTCTCTTGGCAACTTCATGATCACTTTAACTCCACCTTCCATTGATGGATCCAATTTTGAAGGTTTCAAGACCATCCCTACGTGCACTGTGCTCTCCCGTTGGGTCAATGGTCGTAAATTCACGGGCTCATTCCAACCGAAGTCCATCGATCCGAACCAGCCAATATTCCTCCAATCCGTCAAGAAAAATAATCCATCGCTTATCCCTTCAAACATCACATCATCCCTCATCAATCTCTCCGTGTTCGTTAGCTCTTCTTCGATATACCCCTTTTCATAGGCTGTTTTCTTCGCTTTCTTCACACGACTCGCGATGTTAAAGATTGATGATTCTTCGAGTTCTCTCACGGTTAGCTCCACGTAGACGTCTATGTACGCGTTACCGTAGTATCCTTTAGGAAGTGGTGGGTCCAAAACATGTCGGATTCCAACAGCCACGCCAAGGACAGTGATCCCGTCAGGGTTTAATTTTAGAGCTCGAGATCTTAATTTCCATACGTAAGAACTAAGTACTTCATAAGTAGTGAAACTCTCTTTAAGGTACTCACATTCCCTCATCAAAGAGTCTTTAAGCCTTTTAATATCTCCAGCGGGAATGTTTATTATCTCCGTGACCTGTTGGATAATAAATAAAATAAAATCATTTACCTTGTAATTATTAAAAAAATGAGCTAAATAAATTAAGATCATCCACCTAATATATATTCTTCTATATAACTACAAATCTAAAAGCTAAATGAGCTAATAAAATCATAACTTATAATATGATATAAAATTAAATTTGACAAAATAACATACGACATCAGTAGTTGGCAAATATGGTGAGGTGGCCAAAAGACCATCAATGTGGCTGCCGGGCACTTTGCCTGGTTTATTGTCAATTTTTCCGACAAGGCGCTCTCTCAGCCACACTGGCTTCACCGATGGCTCAGTCTTTCCGGCAGCCAACTCGGTCAAGGCATGTATGATCTGAGCCACACCGTACCCGTCACACACAGCGTGTGTCAATGCGGTCCCAATGGTGAATCCTCCACAGGCAAACTTGGTAACCTTCAAAAGAAAGAAAGGGAACAATATATTATCTTAATTATTATGTATTGAAAAAAAATATATAGATACAATGTTATTGATACAAAAGTATTCAAAAAAAAAAATGTTATTGATACAATGAAGAAAATGAAAAGCTACCTGCAAAGCTAGAGGGTGGTAACAAACGTTGCTTTCGTAGTCGATTTCGATATCAGGCACAAGCCGCAAAGCAACTTGGTCATCGAGGTTTTCTATATAGTTTAGAGAGGAGAGGTCTAGAGTTGATGTAGCGACTTGAAATGGAACTCCCTCACCGAGATAAACCAACTGAAGCTTTCCATTACTCTCATCTCTCATCAGCTTGCCTGAAAGGGGATAGTAATGAACAAGAAGTTCGGACAAAGCCTTCCTAAGCAAAGAGACAGGATCATTTAGGTTCTTTTGGTTTGCTTTGAAAACGTAGATCGTTGCGTACATAACTTCATTGAAAAGATCGTTGTCTAAAGTAGAAAGGGAGAGAGTTTCACAAGTAATGTGTTTTGCGGGTTTAACAAGCTCAACTGGTTTCTTTTCAAGTAATAGAGGAAGGATTGGTTTTCTTTGGTTTGACATCTCTTACCAATGTTAGAATGTATAATGTAAGATCTTCTAACCTCTCGATGCTGTTTATATATAGTGAATGGCCGGGGTCGTTGGTTTTTACGTATTATAATAAATGAATGATTGTATAGATATTATAAAACTTTTGTTCTGGCTGTCATAAAAAATAAAAAAGTTGTTCTGATCCCAACTATTTAGTGTAAAAAATTTCAAAATTCGATATAATAAACATATGTAGATATTAGATAACTCGTTATTAACAACATCTCTTATATATTCAGGGCTTGCCTATGAGAAAAAAAGGTATTTGTCTTAGGTCCCTCAATATTAAGTGTTATTTTCTTAAGTTTGAAATTTTGTTTAACATATTAAAAGGACTGTTATCTCTAGTACTTTTTTTTGTTTAAAAGTGTAAATGATTTATCGAAATTAGAAAAAATATGTACAAATGTCTTAAACTTGACTTTCTAGCAAAAACTAGGGAAAAAGGCAACTATTAAAAACAGAGTATGAGATGAGCAAGAAAACAGAGCATGTTACAGGTCTTGAAACCTGCGGCTATGGTCGAACCATGAGCCATCGTTGTAGAAGTAAGCGTAGACGAGGCTTCGCGGAGTAGTCAAGAGACGATTTCCTATTGCGGATGAGTTTGTCTATGTTTCGAGTCATGTGAGCTCTCGATACGCAGCCGTTACCATGTATCCGTGCAGGGCCAAATCGAATAGACCGTCACTTGGAAGCAGAGACGAACTAGTATATCTAGTACTTTAAAATATAGTATTTCGAATTTTAGAATTTTCATAGATAAAAATAGTATTAACTAAGAAAATAGATTGTGAAAATAGTTTAAAATTATATATTTATAATATTTAGTACAATATTTTGTTTTCATAGATTAAAAATAGTGTTAAGTGTTAACACATTTTATCACGAAAATGTATATAATATATTTTTTTGTTTAATGCTTTAGACCACCAAATCTCTAGGCATGGTCTTGTATATACTCTAAACTTATATATTGCACTAGGATATGACCCGCGGTATACCGCGGATTAAAATATTGAATTAATTTTATAATTTTTAGAAACTAATGAATTTGTTGTGTATAATATTTTTTCTTGTGGATCGATTTTTTTTGTAACTAAAAATTTAAAATTTTAAGTTGTATATGTTTTTGTATTTAAAATTGTATAATTTTATTTTGATTTTTAATTCTAGGATTTCATCCGTGGTATACTGTCCCATCGATCCAAACATGTCCCACCATATAACCCCGTCCCGTCAAATTAAACATTATTTTATTATAAAAATATCTTGCAGATCATTTGGATTAGGCAAGATTTTAATATTCGAATATGTAGAGAATATGCCTCATGTTAGTTACCTAATATAAATTTCGATTTTATTATTATTATTTGTAAAATTTAATTACCAAAACTAAGTATTGATTTAAACCAAGAGATAAATGAGAATTTCCTAATCTTGATTTTAATATTTGAATACGTGGAGAATATACCTAATTTTTTTTTTTGTTAGAATTTAAATCAACAATAACAACTATTTAATGTCGTTATTTATTTTTCCAGAAAATCTTACCAAACAATAAAGATTATGGTGGATCCGTTTGACAAATATTCGGGTCAAAATAAAAAAATTCCAGATCAAAAATTAAAAACAAAACTCGACCCGATTGGATTCCTTAAAATATATTGCAAAAATGTTAAGTAGATTTTTTTCTTCATTGATTGAGTAATATATATCCGTTTTAAAAAATTTGAATCATAGCATATGCAGAAAAAAATCTAAAATTTTATTAACTATATATATTTTATAATATTTCAAAATAATATATATTTTAGATCAAATAAAAGTGAAATGAGAGTCATATATTTATGTTTAAATTAGGTAGAGAGGTTTTAGGAAATCAGCTCAAATTTATTATATTAGCATTAAATCATGAAATTTGATTTCCTTATCTAGAAAAATCGTAAAGAATATGTCATAAATAAAGAGTTTAGGTATAGCAATTAGTTGAGAAAATATATATATTTTAGATTTTATTAATTAATTTTGTTTTTGAATTTGGCCAAAAAATAAGGAAAGATCCAATTGAAGATTTCCGGGTCAAAAATTAGAAAAACCCGACCCGATTGGATTCTTTAAAATGTACTTCAAATTAAACATTATTACTCTATCGGTTAAATAAAATCAGTCCTAATGATATTTATTTATAGTGGTTTATTGTATAAATATACTTATCGAATGACACTAAAAATTATCCACAAATTTTGTTTTTGAATATTTTACACAGTTTCAGCCACTTTAAAATAGTATTTTAATTATAATGATAATAACAGATTTTGTAAAGAAAAATACTTGGGGTGAACTCTTTATATTCACCCCTTTACTTCGGCCAATCAGAATATGCCACCTAATAATAATAATAATAAAAATTTCATTTAATTATAAATCTAATTTGCCACTAAAACAAAAATATATATCGGTTTGGAATAAACAATATCAATTGTCATGAACTGAAGCAGTATAGCACAACAGGATGGAAAAACCAAACCAATAATCCAAAAGCTCTTGTATTGATCGAATGGAAAAACACTGTGGAAGCACAAAGTAATAACCCAATTATTGGTAAGGAGAAAATTTTATTGGTTTAATGGTAGGAAAGAATACAAGAATCAGACTTAGTTTGTCACATAACTGACTAAAATAGATTAAAAAAACTGTATATCTCACCGGAAACTCTTCAAGCATAGCTGGTGGCTGGTGCCAAAGGAGATGACATGAAACTTGGAACCGATTAGGAAAACAAGTAAAGTTGACGCCAAAGGTAAGACAGCTTTTAACGTTTCTCATAAGATCCAGACTCAAAAAGCACAGAACTTGGAACATAAGAGAAGGCATGCGGGAAAACCATCTCTTTGCCTGTTGTAATTTTTCCGAGATCCACTTCTCTGAAGTAACCATTCACACCAATGAAGTGAGCTGTGTTACGATTGGTTTCTGATACATTTTTATCTTCATCAAAAACAATTAAACGAGGTTAAATGTCGGTTTGGGTTTTGAAAGTACAATTAGGGTTTAGATTTTTTATGATTAAACGAGGTTAAATGTCGGTTTGGGTTTAGAAAGTACGATTAGGGTTTAGATTTTTTACGATTAAACGAGTTTAAATGGCGGTTTGGGTTTACAAAGGAAAATTAGGGTTTAAATTTTGTAATTAAACGAGATTATAAATCGGGTTTATAAAAGAGTGGTTAGAGATTAGATTTAATAATTAACTGAATTTAATTTTTTTTATTATGTAGCGAATTCTGATTGGTTAAAATAAATGGGGGTGCATAAAAAGATTCACCCTTAGGGATGAACCCAAGTATTGCTCTTTTGTAAAAGTCATGTTATCATCTGCATGACCTAGATGACAGGTGTAAGAGAGCCGTTGATATTTTCTTTCGTGGTGGGTCTTACTTAGACTGACGTTATATATCAACAGTAGATTTTAACATGCAGTACACCGCTGGATGATTTTTTTTTTTAAAATTAATATATATATATATATATATATATAATTTTGCAAATTGTATCTTCTTATAAAATATTAAAATTTTATAGATATTGATTCAAATCCGTCCGTCATATAAATCCGTTCCGATATATAATCCGTCCCGTAATTTTTTAACCCGTCCGTCATATAAATTCGTTCCGAAATATAACCCGGCCCGTAATTTCTTAATCCGTCCCGTAATTTGTTTTCTAAAAGTAGTGATTTTAAAATTTAATGATTATTTATTATAAAAGTTTACAAATTGTATCATTCTCTAAGACGTTTATATTTTAATAAACTGAGGATTTAATCTGTATTAAAGCGGTATGTTAATAATATTTTAGAATTTTTTAAATATTGATTCAAACTCGTCCACCATATAACTCCGTTCCGAAATATAACATGTCTTGTAATTTTTACCCCGTACTGTGATCTGTTTTTTAAAAGTAGTAATTTTAAAAATTTAGTGATTATTTATAATATATAAAAGTGTGCAAATTGTATCATTCTCTAAGACATTTATATTTTATACTTTACAATTGTTATTAAGTAACATTATACCACAGTACAGTTTTTGGTTTTATATAATCTTTTCTAAATGAGACTAATTTGATATATCTAATATTAGTGGTATTAAAAAAAAATTAAGGATTTAATCCGTGTTGAAGCGGGGGATTAATGATACTTTAATTTTTTTTTATTACAGTTGATTCAAAAATCTGTCCCGCCAAACCCGTCCCGCCAAAAAAACCATTTATTTTATTAAAGTTGATCTTATTTATTATATGATTCTGAATCATTATCTAAATATTTTAGTCGATGTAGAACGTTGAACACATATTTTTTGTCAATTGGATAATATATGTTTGTTTTTAAAATATAGAATCACATATGCAGAAAAAGAGTTGATTTTTTTTTTAACTTTATGTATTATATGATGATTCAAAACAGTTAAAAACGAATCAAACAAAGATGATAGGAGAATCATAATTCTAAATCTTAATCAATCTTCTAAATATCTAAATTATCAAATATGGAATATCCGGTATATGAGTTGGGTTAAATATAATCCGATCCAACAAAATTTTTATGACCAAAATTTGTAAACGGGTCGAATACCCATTGTATCCAAATTCATTTTATCCCATTCACTAAAAATGTACTTCAAAAATACTAGTATAGATGAGTTAAATATGGACCTATGAAAGGTAGGTAGATACGCCCATGAGACGATTTTTGGTAAATTTATCGATATTTCTTCTTCATTATTGGTTTTAATATTTATCAATCTTTCTATGTGATTTTTATTTTGGTTTTCAAAATTAATATATGATATTCTATTTTCATACAAAATGGATAATCGAATACACTTTTTTGTGTGGGAAACTTACAATTGAATACACACTTATTAGTTATTAAACTAAACAAACATATATTGCCTTTTTCAAAAAAAAAAAAGCAAACAGATTGATCTTATTTTAATTTACTTAAGAGTTATAGACTCTATTCTAACCTTTTAATAGTTCATTTGAAAAAAAGATA